AAAATAAATAATGATACAAAGAAATTGGAACCAATTTAGTAGAAAAATAAATTTTGAGACTACATTGATAAAAATTAATAAGAATTTGAAATTATGATGGGAATCAGGTTATTTTTCCAGTCTTAAACTACTCTTGACAAAATATGAAATAATTCTAAAGACAGAAAGCATAAATTTACAGTGGAATCATCATCTAATGCAGACAGCCTCTAAGACAGACTGCAATTATGCTTGAATGCAATATTCACACCTATGTTTAATCCATTTCAAGTGTGATATGAGTTCCTAACATATGGAATGTAGCATATATTTATAATTTCAAATCCAAGATAACAACTTCAGTAGACCTGGAAGTATATCCCTTCTCTCACCCTTGGTGAATTTTCAGATGAAACCACATTCCTGATTGAATCTAAAAGTACAAGGTACTTTGAAGTCGACACCAAGCTAAGATAAGGAATTACTACTAAGCAAATATTACAGCACATAGGAGAGTGCAGAAGAAAAAAAATAAAGAGGGGGAGAGTGTAGGTGGGTGGGTTATAAGGGAATGAAAATAAAATATTTTGTTAAGATCTCAGAAAGATCAAGGATGGTCCATTGGCTTACTATCTAGTCCAATAAATTTTCATCTTAAGAGATGAACGATATATTTATATCTCAAAGGTACTCAAAAAAAAAAAAAGATTATAATTCATGTAAGGGCTTTGCCACTCAGGCATCTCAATATAGTACAAGGCCAAGATGGATTCAGCTTAAAGAGATTTGTTTTCTTATTCAGTAACCCCAAGAAGACTTATGTTGTACTCATAATACCTACACAGTTCTTTAAAAGCATTCTACATACAGAAACATCAAAAGTATGAATGGAGGGTCAGGGGCAGGGTTAGACATTATACAGTGAGAAGTCTTTGAACTAATTCAATCCTATTGGGAAAGAAATTGACTGAGAGACTTAGTTGCAAGTACATCTCACATTTCCTGGGGGCAAAAAGAATGCTTATTCCTAATTCAGAAGGGAGAAATGAGTGAAGATAGTAGATCTGAATGTGAAAGACAACTGTTTCCAGAATTTGCGCCGGGTCAAATAGTTGTCTGTATACATTTACTAGCTAAATTTTAAAAATGTTATGTACCAGTAACTCACTTATTCTGTGTATTTTCCTTCCATTTGAGCAAAAATGTCTATGCAATGTATCTCATGCCTATCTCATGTATTCTGGGTTTTGGAGGGTAAAAAAGCACATATTTCATCACACGTTTACAGATCAAGATAAACTAAGTCCAAGAAATTTCATTTGCACCTGGACTTAATTTGTATGATGACATTCTAGATTTTTGAACTCATGTAATAATGAGGTAAACATTTTGGGACCCTAGACATGGGCTAAGCATATATTGCATGATAGAGCAACACGGCTCCCTGGAGAGCAGATGGACTGTGATAAGACTATCGAGGGCCTTCAATAATCCCAGCTCCCTGCACTCACGTTCTTGTGTAAACCTATTTCCTGAATATGAGTTGAACCTGTTTCTAATAATTATAATATGGCAGAAGTTATGGGATATTATTTGCAAAATAAGATTTGAGACGCTTTGGTTAGAAACAGTCTCTCCAGTTCTCTCTTAGCTGGCTAACCATAGCACCAAGCAGCAGTCATTTTGTGAGGTAACCCCATTGAGAAGGCCATGTAGTCATGGTATGAAGTCTGCCAACAGACACAGGGAATGAGATTCCTACTTCCCTGAAAGCCTCTTAAGCATTTAGATAAGATTGAAGCCTCAGCCATTAGTTTGGCTGCAGTTGCTTAAGCAGTTCATCTGATATTGGAAACTTAAGACTCCAGAAGACATTTCAGAAGGCACTAACTCTAGAAAAATGGTAAAAATTGATTACAAATTGAAATGAAGCTAAATTTATATTCAATTAATTAAAATTAATTAAAAAACCCTGAATGTGATTCCTACTCTAATACATAGCAGTTAAATTTTCTTATAAAAGTAAAGATAAAATAGTGAATAATACTGCATGCAGTCATTGTAACAGCAAAATAAAGTAGAGGATATAAACCTCCAGTTATATCTCCTCGCCCCTAATGACTTTGTAGCATCTGGTAGGCCTTACTACAACAACTAAGATTCACAATTGGCATCTCCTAAAACTTGTGAGAGAGACCTGGTTATGAAGAGTCGGATCAGCTGTCTCCAATGGTGTAACTCAGACAGAGGAAGGTGGTATAATTGTGAATAAGTATTTGAAGATGTTAAATCTGTCAGACTCTAGGAAGAGTAACTTCAACTGCATGCCCAACTGATGCATAATCATCAGACATTAAGGAGGGAACATTACTGTAATTCATTGTTACTCTAGTGGTCTTAAAGAATTAAGACTACATTTATAACATTAAATTTGTCTCTGAAGAGTAACTGCAAACTGGGGAATATCTGGATCATTAGGTAATACCCTACGGTCAGACAAAAAGCACTTTATCTCTGAATTTGACTTCCTGGCATATTGGATGTAGCACAAGTTAGTAACAAAATGACCTTTTTCTTAAACAATCCATAGATTCAGTAAGATTTTCTTCAACTTTTGGAAACTAAATATATTCCATGGTTTTATAAGTCTTGAATACTTACTTCCCCCAAATCTATGTTTATCCTGTTTACTACCCATTTGTATACTTATGTCTTTTATTGTTTTCACCATACTTATTTTTCATTCAAGCTTTGTTTATCATGTTTTAATATATGATGCATTATTGTCAAATTTATATTTGCATAATAAAATTTGCTTTGGTGTCCTAGTGTGTCTTTTGTAATACAAAATGAGATATTTTACTATATGTGTATATATATATATAATTTTAATTAGTTGAATATTCTCTTTTGTTAAAGTGAAAAAGCAACATAACACACTATTAAGGAAGTAAATTATTTCCTGGAGAGTATATCAAAAATACATCTGTAAAATTGACAGTCATATTTGTCACAATTGTTATACTGTCTAATATTCCATGGTGGGATCCATCTGGTATTGACTAAAATTTATTTTGACTTTCCAAAGAAAATAAAATATGAAGGCAGATATTACCTAGATGGAATGTGGGAAAGAAAACAGAATAAACTTTGGGAAAAGTGGCACTTGTAGTAACCATTTCCATGCTGTAAGAAGGGTATGCTTGGAGTTTGGGTGTTCATGGAACAGAATTGGGTATTCTTGGGACAGAAATAAGAGTTATGAATGCAGAGTAGTTTTTAGTTAGTTTTTGATTTGTTGTATGAATGCAGAAACAATGAATGGCAAAAATTTAAATGGCTCTCCTATGTTCTTTGGTTGTATATATATAGATAGTTTTGTAGAAAATCACATGCACTGCATGAGACATATTACTCTTTTTTTCAGAGTTTACATAGTTATGTACACAAGAACTAGGGTACAGCCCAGAGGTGCAGGAGGTGAAAGGACACATCAGAGACTGAGTGGGGAGCAGAACAGGCAGATCTATTGAAATACACTGCTGAGAGGAGCAGTTGGGTGAGTCAGGAGAGGTCTGCTGTGCCATGTGGGTCAGCTCCCTGGCAGGGGATCAAACTTGTGCTGCAGTGGCTGCAGATAGCTTCCTAGTGGTGATGTTTAACCCCTTGCACCACCAGGTAGGCCCCTAACCAGATTTAATTTCTATGTCTAATTTAAGTGATATTTATACATCTTAGTGTGTATTTGAAAAGAGCATGCTATGCAAATGTAGTGCAAGAATAGACGAGCAAACTTACAGCAGGTGTTGAAAAGGAACTGAAGTATTTACTAGTCTCTTGAACAACCAATGAAAAATATTCATAATGACACATGTTCAAACACTTTATAGAACCTATTCTTCCACAGATCTTTCTGATACCACATGGCAGCACGTAGCTACATCTCATCTCAATACTGTAAAAGTTGTAACCACTTTTTAAGCACCCACCCATCTCTTGATTTTCCAAATTTAGTCCTCTCTCCAAACACTAGTCATGAACTCCCTATACAAGGAGTTCTTGTATCTATCCTACCTGGCACAACATAAGACCTCATTGCTTTTCTAACAAGACAGATTTTTTTAGTATCACAGAGGTGGGTTTGCTTTAAGGATGCCATTTTACTAATAGTTACTGAGAGTCATATGATCCAGATTACATGAAGTAACGTGGACTCCCAGAGCCACTGACCTGACCTGCCTGTGCCATCAGGGCATCTGAGCCAATTCCCATTTGCCCTTCCGGGACAGCTGTTGGGGCAGTGGAAGTCCAATGGGGGTTGCCAGACTCTGGAAATCACAGCAATCAATATCTTATATATGAGTTTCAAAAGTGTGACGTTGTAACATAGAAGTCATCTGTAGCTTTAACTGCAAGTGTGCTAGAAGCCAGAAGTTATTTTGAGGTAAATTAAGGCTTAATAGTGGTAATTGTGGAATAAAAGTTGGAATCTGATAGCCAATAAAACTGAAGCCCTGAACTCATTGACCTTAAGTTGCATACTATAGCATTTTATAATTTAGATGGATGCTAAAGTGCAAATTTATAATAAATTTAAACTATTAACAATGATGATAGTAAAATCTTAACTGTAAATTTACCCTAATACTCACTTTACTTGAGATTGGCTTCATGGTTTGAGGGCACGACTGCTCTGGTTAGCTGCTGTGACTACAAAGGAAACAGTATCATCCTCTGGAATCTCTATATGATAGCTACAAAGCAGTAGCATAACCCTTTCTGGCCCAATCCCAGACTCAGGTGCTACACAAGCTTTAGATAATTTACTTTGAGCTCTGAATTACTATCTAGTATTTGGTGAATGACAGTTACTTCCAACACTGTGAAAATGAAAATAATTGTATCCTCTGCAGAGGAAGATAGTGTTTAGAGTTACAAATAAGATGTGTACTTCAACCTGCAGAAAATAAATGTTGAAAAGACTTCATAGCATCTGACCAAATTTTGATTTGCCTACTCACCCACAGGAGACATTTCTGGAACGCTGGCAACATAAGGTCCATCCAAAAACTTTGGCTCATTATCATTAATATCCTGCACTTTGATGATGAATTCTGATTCGGGCTCCAGGGGCTTCCTGGTTTCTATGTCCACAGCTTGAGCACGAAGCGTGTAGAAAGGTTTTTCCTCTCTATCCAGACTCCTGATTGCGTGAATGTCCCCTGTGGTTTCATCAATGGTAAAGACAGTGCCAGCACCATCACCTGAGAGGGTATATTTAACAGAGCCCTCTCCCTTATCTAAGTCAGAATGGAGCTTTTGAGGAGAGAGAGAGAGAGAGAGAGAGAGAGAGAGAGAGAGAGAGAGAGAGAGAGAGAGAGAGAGAGAGAGAATGTTAAAAAGCCATATATGTAGTATAAATATTTAACAGACATTAAGGAAAAAAAACTTTGTACATTTATCTTGTTCATTTTTTTACCAACATTCTGATTATACAATTTTACATGAAAAAATTTAATAAGTGTGTAGTGAACATCTAAATAATGTCTTTATATGTTGGATTGCACCTTTCACCTTATAATCGACTGAATTTATCACTTAAATGGATCACGTCTCTGTCCTGCCATCCATCTTTCTGTCATCTATCTTATTTTTTGATGAACGACAGCTATCAGGAGTACAGAGCCCACATATACCAACATGAATAAATATATCTAAAATTTGAATATTTCTATTTATATCTTTTGTATCTTTTAGGTGATAAAATATTCATAAACTGAAGTGCACAAATTTTAAGAGTTTTTATTTCATTTTAAATAATTGTTGTAATATAAATAAGTCATGAATACCAAACCACACACACTTTTTTACATATAAATTAAATACATATAAATTTTTATGAAACATATAATATATAAATATAGATCAATATATAAATAAATGCTTATTTTTATGTTTTTTATTTACTTCAGAATTTGTGCTAAAATGGTTTATAGCTGGGTAGTGATATAATTTAAAAAAAAAAAAACTAAAATAAGGGATAGCAAAATTTATATTTTTAAAAACATTTCCATATATCTCAGTCAAGTCCAAGGAAAGATTGCTATGAATTTAAGGGAAGATTTTTCCCCTTAATTTTTTATGAGCTGCCTTGAAGCATAGGAAGTTTCAAGCATAAAATCAAGCTGTAGATAAATGTTCTTTCAACTTTGGAATTTCAAATTACAAATTTCAACCATATTATTAAAGATGTACAACACAATGGATCTTGCTTTTGCTTCAGATTTATCAAAAGATATGAGACAGTCAAACCCTCAATGCAAAAGCCATGCCTATACCAACTGGATCCACTTAGTAGGAACTGGACAGAATAAGTGGTGATACTGTGGAAACTCTGGAAATTGTCGATAGCTTTATACTATGATCCAAGTAGAATAACAAAAATGAAGTCTACATTTAGCAAAAATTAGAGCAGTTTTCTATTTATTTATTTATATTTTATTTATGCATACAAGAACTGGGGTGTAGGCCCATGGTGTGGGGAGTGAGAAGATTCACCAGAGACAGAGTGGGGAGCAGAACAGGTGGATCTACTGAAATACACTACTGAGGGGAGCAGTGGGAGAGACCGGAGAGGTCTGCTGTGCCATATGTGGATCAACAACCTTTACTGGGGATTGACTGTGGATTGAACCCATGACACTGTGGCTGGCATAAAAAAAAGACCAAAAACATACTTTTTATGAATAAAATTATATTGAAACCTGAATGATTCTGAAATCTTTCCTTATAGATGAAAAGACTTTCTCAAATAATTCAGCAATGGAATTCAGACTTAGGTTACTCCATGAAGCTACTTCTTAATGTTATTTGCATAAAGAAGGAGAGTGTGTTACAAAAAGAGGATTCACTTTCTTTGCTTCATCTGTGGGTTCTAACTATGAAAAATCACACAATGTCACTTTACATAGGGACTTAAAACTACACATACTGCTAGCTAATAAATAATTCACAAGAATACAATTATTTTCCATTATGGCAATTTAAAAATAACAGCAAATATGTTTCCTATTCCAACTATATTTTAAAAAAAGCTGATTCTGAGTAGGTGCTGACTGTATTTACTTTCTGAAACAGCCAACTCCAATAATATCATCTTTTCGTATTGACACTTAAAATAAATTTCTCCCAGAAACTGAGTTCTATAAATGATGGCTGTAGGAATATGCACTGTCCAGGCAGTTGTTTTGTGGAAGTGGTGCTGTTATTTTCTGGTCTTTTCGAAGTCATCTCAGATGGAGCGTGTAAATGAGATGCCAACAGAGGCTTAAAAAAGATACAGAAGACTAGTTTCAGAATGGAACATCGCTGGATTGCAGCCTTCAAAGTTGTGAGAAAGCTCATCTAAAGTTAAGTGTTTACTAGTATCTACCTGATTATATTTTAGAAACACCAACATGTGCACACAATCACACCCGTGCACCCACATGCAAACAAGAATTTGTTCTCATTTTCTCTGGGTTGAAAAGTTCACATAAAATAGAATATGCTTATTATATTACTATGCTCAGCTATAATTTTATTTTCATGTGGTCTTTTTAAGTATGGGGGATGGTTAGCAGGCATAAAGAGAGTATTGATATATATGTGTGTATATAAATTATGTATGTATTTATGTATTATTATATCATATATAAAGTATATGTATTAAATTATATTATTGCCTATTTGTTGTTTCTCTGGAGAACCTGATTAACACACGTGACTTCAAAATCTTGTCCATCAGTTGATGATAAAGCATTAAAAGAACAAAAATAATATTCTTCTTTCTCTTGGGGGATCAGTCTCCCCAAAAATGTTCTGATAGGCTTTCCCCAAGATGTCCAGAGTAGGCCTTTTCCAACACGTGTTACCTTGATATATGGAAGTAAGGTTAACTGATGCCCTGGTGGTCATAGGAGAATCTATTACCATTAGTTAGAAAATGCAAATTATCTAGATTCAATAACATTTCCAGAACATTTTCACACATGAGGCCTATCTTAAGACAGGGCAACCACCTGGAGGCAAGGTTTTGTCATATGAAGTCATCTTTACCTTGTCATATAAATTTCCCATACATTTATTTTTTTAAATCTGGTGTTCTCCCCTACCTGCCTGTTGTTAATTTGTTTATCCAGTGTCAGAAGAACCTAGAAGGGCAGAGGATTTTTCTACTGTCCCTCTTAATTAATGGCATAATCTCTCTGCGTTGTCCCTGCTAAGCTGGAATAATTGGAATAGAAACACTTTTAAGTAACTTCTTTAATGTTATTTGGCCAATCAACAAGCCTTCAACCCCTTATCATTTTATAAAAATTAGCTAAACTATCTGATGCCTTTCACACCATTCTCAAGATAATTGGTAAATAATCTGGTTCCTAGAACATAAATTACTGGTAATACCAGTAAAGAGGGGAAGACTATATTAACAGTACATTCTTTCATCCAAATTGTGTTAAGGAAAACTTCAAAACAACAGGATAATTGAAAAAATGACACAATGAAAATATGTATTCTCACTCTAGATCAAACAATTATTAACATCTATGTATTTGCTTTATTTTTATGCATGAACAATTTGGGGGGGAAGTGGCATATTCCATAATAATTCACTATTTAATAATCCATTGATATTTTGAAAATAAATCTCTTTTCTTATGTAATTACATTTTTACTTAAGAGAATTACTTAAAATCCCTCTCACTATTTAATAACTAGCCACTATTAATTTCCTCCCCACTTATCTGTTCAAATGACTTTTTTAATTTGTTCTTTATTTTTGCTGAACATGGATCAAAGCAAGTTTCAAGCATGACATTTAGATTCCTTTAAGTTTAGAAAGATTAATATTTCAGGGGCCTCCCTGGTGGTACAAGGGGTTAAGTCTCACTACTATGAAGCTATCCAAGTTCAATCCCTAGCCAGGGAGCTAAACCACATGGCACAGCTGACTTCTGTCTCGCCCGCTGCTCCCCTCAGCAGTGTATTTCAGTCATTCTGCCTGTTCTGCTCCCCACTCTGTCTCTGGTGGATCCTCTCACACACATACCCGCCCTGCGCATCTCTGGCCTGTACTCCAGTTCTTATATGCATAAATAAATCTTTAAAAAAAGATTAACATTTGAATATTTACTTATTTACATGTTACTATTTTTTTTTATGCATCCTTTCTGAATTTGTCTGCTGGAACAAGAAATTTTCTGATATATTTCCTAAGTGCTTACTATTCTGTCTTACAATATCATTTCTCAATCCAAAGTACATAGGTGCTAATGAAGTGCCATAAAAATATGTCCTCTGTAAGATGGAGGGAGAAATTTGTAACACATGTTAGGAACATCTTCCACCAGGACTAAATATAAAGGAAAGGAACCTTGTATAGAACATGCCTCAAGAAATTTTGGTGCAATAACGGCATGTATGTGATAATACTCATTATTGCTTTTAAAATCTATGATTAGGAAGATTGTTGAATGGATTGGTGACATGGTTCAGGAGTTAGTGCATGAGATTTGTAGTAATATTACAACTTTTATTTATATAAAGGATTCATTCAGATAAACTGACCAAAATGAATATGAGAAAATTTTATGGCTGAAATAATTTCATTAGGTATAAAACATACTACTCTTGCTATATTCCCCTAATCTTAAAACTTTTGCTACAACTAAAATTACAAATACTGAACATTATAACATACTGAACTAATAATAAAATACTTAGGGTTTCCTTCTAATAAAATACTTAGGGTTTCCTGATGGTTACTTTGTTTCCCATCAGTACTATTTTACTCTCAGGAACATGAGAGTGGCCATTATATTAGCTACAGTGTTATTAGACGATGATTAAGGCAATGTTAATAGACAAAATGAAGGCCAGAACCAAGACATCTACAACTTTGCCTGAGGAAGGCAGTAATACAAAAGTTCTCTTTCAGAAGCCACTGAATGCCCAGGAATATTTGAGATTCTATTTCATTCTGCTCCCTAAGGGATGCATTTGTTCTTCCTAACTTGATTGTTGTCATTTGAGGAATAACACTTTACAAGGTTGGGATAACACTTTACAAGGAATAACACTTTACAAGGTTGGGAATTCCCTTTAACAGTCCAATGTGGGTTGAGAACTCCCCTGCCTGAGTTACAGACCCAAAACTATTTATCATCTGGAAATATTTTACCTTCTATAGAAGAAAGTAGACATTCATTTCAAAAAGTCCCACACTTCACAGAGGTATGCCAAGGAAGAACAAAGAAGAACAATGGATATTTGTA